CGCGCAGCAAAACCGTCTTCCTTCGCAGGCCCGGCCCGGCCCGGCCCGCCCGCCGAGCCGTGCTTGGAGTTTGTGGTCCCGGGTCCGAGTTTCCGAGGACCCCGGAGAGCTCTTATGTGGGTTTCAGCTATTGCATACACGTGACAAATGCTGATACCACATCTGAAATTAAAACCGAGAGATTTTTTTTTTTTTACGGGAGTAACACGGGTGGAAAAGCAAATTTTCTTTTAAAAAAAGTGTATTCGGAGAGTGGCGTTGGTTGACGTTTTGAAGATGTTGCTAATGTTCTGGCTTAATGGCAGAGCTGAATTCTTTTAGGTGCTTCTGCAATCAGTCTGTTGTAATATCACAGGTCAGGAAGCACTGGAAACTCCAGTGTGTACTACTGGGAGAATGAGTAAAAAAGGCAGATACGGTCTGAGTATCATGACAAGTCGTTTTGACCTCGTGGACCTCCCGAGAAGGTCTCAGGAACTGTGATAAGAGTTTCCAGACCACACCTAGAACCATTACTCTATACCATTGTTATGTTTTGGGACTGACTTTGAAAACCTTAGCGGTTTTTTAAACTTCTCAAATGACCAAACTTTGTCTTGTACAATAATTATTTGTGTATGTCTTTGAAACTCCTTAAGAACAAGAACCATTTCTTAATATTCTTTGCTATTATCTTAGACAATAAATACTCCGTGAATTGAGAGGAAAGTCATTCACATTTGCTCAAAATTGTATTTATTAAATGTTCATCATTTGCTTAGAAGTTCCAGAAGATGAAAAGCTAATGGATATTTTGGGATATTTACAAACGATATCAAGTACAATGTTGGACGTGAGTGACAATCATAATAATGGAGCTTTATCATTTATTGAGCACATGGTATATGCAACAATACTAAATGTTTACATGTGTTATCTACTTTAAACGGCCCCCCACACACAATCCTGCGTTTCAGAGTTTGAGATTGAGACAAAGAGTAATAATAACTTGGGATTATTACAGCAAAGTAAGGATGTGAGGAGGGAGCAACTAGCGAGATCTAGCCCACAGATGTCATACTTTTGTTCTGTTCTAGGAACACCACCTTGGGATTTCGGCTGTACAAAGGAAATTCAAAATGCTGTTACTCTCGGTCTGTAAATGTCTGGATTTCTAGATTTGTCATAATGTAAAAAGTTGTCTTCTCTGGGGCAGATGTGCAGAGTATTATGGTGCTCGCTAGTACTCTAGTTAGGGGCTCCTCTGGGCTTCCAGAGGAGAGCCTGGTCTCGAGGACTGCTGCTTTGACCTGGAGTCTCGTTGGTGAGAGAGAGAGAGGACAGTCAGTAAGTACAGCCCTGCGGGGGAAGAGGCATGGCAGGTGGAGTAACTGTAGCGGATTCCTGAGGTCCGATGGTGTTTCCCTCCGCAAGCCTTCGGTCACTTTTTGTGAAAGGCTGCAGGTTGGTCTTAGCTTTGTTTGGGGACCTGCCAGAAAGGTTTGAGGCCACTTTTCTGTGGAGCAGCACAGAGAGGGCCGTTGCCTAGAAAGAGGGGTGAGAGCGAAGGGCCTGCATCTGAGCACTCGGGGTGGGAAGTCGGATGAGTTTCGCCAGTCTTCCAGGGCGGTGGTGGTTAGCTCCCAGTACGTTGGTTGGGGTGAGGAGGGCTGGAGGATTTGGTAATATTAAGTTCATCCCTACTGAGATCAGAAGAATTAAACTGACATTTTATAAAACCGTTAGCCTGGGTGACTTGGGGGCTGGACATGACGACCTAAGGGGCAGAGTTGGCTGGTGATGCTTACTCTGAGACCAAAAAAGTTTTGTTTGTTTTTTTTTAGAAAGCGGGATTTATTGAGAGGACAGAAGAGCTCCCACAGTGGGAGGGGACCCGAGGGGTTGCCTAAAAAAAGTTATTTTGAAAGGATGGGAGAAGAGCATCCATGATAGTCGAAGGTCCTAAGGTGTTTTTCTCCAGTCTCAAACACGGGAGCTCTAGTGTCTAGTGTAGTCCGGGTGGATAACGAATCTCGTGTGGCTGGGGGTGCTTTCCTCAGTCACCAGACTCACCACCCTCAAATCTCAAATGCCGTCTGCTCTGTTTCTTTTTCTTCACTTTTTTTTTGACTCTTTGCATCTTTCCTCAAACTAAAGGAAAATTTGTTCATAATAAAAATGAGTAAGCCATATGAAGAGTCCATTCAGAACTTGCTGCCAGAGCTGAGGACTAACTAAATGTTTTTAGATGGTTGCTGATGACTCAGAATAAATCCTTGCGTGCAGTTTAGTTTCCCACAATTATGTGCATGTGGAAATGCCCTACAGACAAACCCAGCCCTATTCCCACTCCAGACTGATCTGATATTGGGCACTCTTTGCTGTCAGTGTAGATGGGCACAGACTCCAAATGTGTGCCTGTGAATTCTCTGGTGACATGGAGCATCTGAGCCCTAAGGAAGGAGAGCTTGCAGGAGCCTGTAGAATTCCATTAAGCACGGAGCTTAGAAATGGGGCTGTGGAACCCGGACCCCGGAGAAACAGTCGTAGCATACCTGCCGAAGAGAAGGTGCCCTTGTGGCTGCAGAAATTCTGCCCAGCAGCTGACAGGAATGAGAACATGTGCACAAAACTCTAACAAGTGTCCTCCTCATCTTTGTCTTCCGTTTCGGAGTTTGGGGGTGCCGGAGGGCCCAGGCTTTGCACCTCTTGACCTGTGCCTCATGGCGTTGGTCCCGTGGCTCTACACAGATTGAGGTTGATCACTCCCAGTCTCTATCTCCAGCCCATACCTCGGCCTTGACTCCCAGATTCGTGTCGCCAGATGCCAGTTTGCCATCTTCTCTTGAATCGCTAGTAGGCATCCTACACACAACATGTTCCCCTGTAGTAGACATCCAAACGTAGCATGCTCTCCTGTGAACCTCTTTCTCTCACAGCTGTCTGCATCTCAGTAAATGGCAACCACATCCCTCAAGTTGCTCAGGCCAAAAACTTCAGTAATTCCTGATTCCACTGTTCTAAATATTATGACCAGCAAAGATCTCTCCCAGAGGGCGACTTTTAAGCAAACACCTGAACAAGTGAAGCAGCAAGTCATGTGGTTACCTGTGGAGACCATCTCAGTGCAACTAAGCCAAAAGTGCAAAGACCCCACTGTGTCCAAGGGAAAGCAAGAAAGCAAGTGTGTCCATGGTAGAGTGAGGGAGGGAGATAAGAACAAGACCTCAGGATCTGAGTTAACTGTGCGCTCAGTGGTGTGACATCGTTTTTGTCCGCAAATCCTGTCTGCTGTACCTTTGGTACGTATCTGAACTCCAACCCCTTCTGCTGTCTCACTGGGCCAAGCCGCGTCATCGTGCCTGGATTTTTCCAGTAGTTGCTTAACTTCTCCCTCCTTTTGCTTTGCTCCACCCTCCTCCCCAGTCTATTCTCAACATAGCAAGAAGAATGATTCTTTCAAAACATCAAATCAGATCTTGTTCCTCCTCTGCTCAAAACCCTCTCATTGCTTTTCCACCTCAGATTGACCACACCACTGAGCGCACAGTTAACTCAGATCCTGAGGTCTTGTTCTTACCTCCCTCCCTCGCTCTACCATGGGCACACTTGCTTTCTTGCCGTCCCATGGACACAGGGCGGTCTTTGCACTTTTGGCTTAGTTGGGCCGAGATGGTCTCCACAGGTAACCACATGACTTGCTGCTTCACTTGTTCAAGTGTTTGCTTAAAAGTCACCCTCTGGAAGAGATCTTTGCTGGTCATAATATTTAGAATTACCCCCTACATATGCTCAGCATTACCTCTCCTTTGCCCTAGTTTTCTCCAGAACACCAGTGACCATGGATGGATGGATGGTCATATGTATATATGTGTCTGTCCCTCTCCTAGAATGAAAAATCCAGGAGGATAGGGAATTTTGTTGGTTGCTATATCCTTAACACCTAGAAAAAATGGTTGACCTATTTTAGGTTATTGGTAAATGAACTGAATTAATTAATAAAGATTTCAAATGTAAATGTTCCAAGAGGAGAAGCAGAAGAACCTAAAAGCAGTGCTGTGGTTTGTACCCTAAAAGGTGTACAATGTGTTCTATTTGATTACATGTTTTTTGAAGTAAAGATAGAAATTGTAGATACAATTTTTAAAAACTAAGTCCTTTTGTCTCGGTAGTGAAGCAGTTTTTAAATTAATTCGGAAATTCCAAAATAGGACTTGTAGAAACCACTTTTTAGTTACATTCTTACCGGAATGTAACTAAAAAAAGGGTAGAAAGAAGAGCAAAACGTCCAAGCATCGTCATAGCTGAAGGCTGGTGTCCATGCGGAAAATCAGTAAAACAAATGGAGATGTAGAATCTTGTTTTTCTCCTGTGCCTCCCGTATTGAAAGAGAAATCACCTGCTTCAGTTTGATCTGTGTTATTTTTGGGGAAAGTCGAATTGCTTTTAATTTTCTCTGTATCACCTGAAATCAGCTTAACAATAACCCACAACATTAAAGCATCACTTGGTTGCATCTGAGAGGTACCTTCTTATTTTCATGTATTAAATCCTGGTAAATTTCCGAATCATAAAAAATTATATATCGCATACAACATCCTTGTTTTTATAAATCTCATATTCTGATTATTTGCAAAATTTGTCATCTTTATGTTGTTTTTAATATATTTTCCTTCCTTTGGGTATTTCAGGAACTAGTAAAAGAAACTTTTAAAAAATAAGACTACCAGCCAGGCTCAGTGGCTTAGCCTGTAGTCCCATGCCTTTGGGAGGCTGAGGTGAATGGATTGCCTGAGCCCGCAGATTCAAGACCCGCCTGGGCAGTGAGACTTCATCTCTACGATAAATCAAAAAATCAGCCAGGTGTGGTAGCGCACGCCTGTAGTTCCAGCTACTCAGAAGGCTGAGGCGGAAGGATCGCGGAGCCCAGCAGGTCGAGGCTGCGGTGGCCGGGAGCGGCCACTGCACTCCAGTCTGGGTGACAGAGTGAGACTCCAACTCAAAAAATAAAAATAAGACTACCAACAGCTTTCTTTAGCTGTTTATTTTTTTCTGTCATCATAATCATCTTTATTTCATAAAAGTACACATTTAGAAATAGGAAAGATAATTTTAGAATAGAATGCCATTGTCCTTGTTTGTATCATTTTTACTGTAGACATTGGTCTACAGTTCAGAATTTGGGAATAGTTGATCTGTTATATGATAACTCACATTTAATAAGAATAGCATATTGGACATAATAAAATTTGACTAATATTCTTAAAAAAGAATACCTAGAAAATATGGTGATTGCAGGAGGCCTTGGAGGACTTTATCAGGTTACCAAAATAGTAGTTACTCAAAAAAAAATTTTAAGGAAAAGCTAAAATTATCTCAGAAATAAGCACAGATAAGAAATTAACCTTAATTTTCTTTTCTTTTCTTTTTTTTAATTTATTGCAGAGAGACAAGGTCTCTCCATATTGCCCAGGCTGGTCTCAAACCCATGGACTCCGGCAGTCCTCTCTCCTCTCCCTCCCAAAGTGCTGGGATTACAGGTGTGAGCCACCACACCCAGCTAAATTTCTTTTAATATCCCCATATTTTTATTACATAATAAGAGCTCACCTTTATTGACTGTTTATTACTTGCCAAGCACTGTGCTAAACACGTCTTAGGTAGATTATCTAATTCTAACAATCCTATGAGGTAGATAATAGTACTATTTAAGTTAATTTTGTTAATTTCGCACTTTTCTTGTATGAGATAATCAGCATTATCACTGAGTTATAAATCTTGGATGACATGTAAATGCAATTGTAGCATTTTAAGAAGACCAAGCAAATGAATGAGGATTAAGACTATTTCAAGTAATAAGAAAGATTGCTAACCTTAATTCTGTCACAGTGTTGGCACTATTACGTTTGACTTCTACCTACTGAGGCTTCCAGCCCTTTCAATTATGATTGCATTGTATTCGGTAATGATTCGTTTATGAATAATTAATATGGACAAGACAAGTTTAGGTATTGAGGGATTAAATACATATAATATGCATTAGATGGAGTTTCTGTTTTCAAGGAGTTTATATTATCTAGTTGGATAGAGAAGACACTCTCATGAAGAAAAGTTCCCAGTGGTTTTAAGGCAAAATTGTGTCAGATAAAGCATAGAACAGAGCTCTGCAAGCAACAACCTGTTTTCTACAGCCCATAAGCTAAGACTGGTTTCTGAATTTTAAAAATTGTAAGATAACATAACAAATGACAAAGAGGAATATGCAACAGAGACTGCATGGCTCAGAGTGCCTAAAATCTGTACTCTTTGGCCCTTTGCAGAAGCAGCTTGCTAACACCTCGTCTATGAAATAAGCCCAGTTAGAAGACAGTGTCGAAAATGTGTCTGGTGGACTGGCGTGGTCCAGGAGGCCCTCAGAGAGAAGCTAAAGTTGGATTGTAGTTCAGATCGGCAGAGAAAAGGGTGGGATCTGTAGAGGTGGATGAGGTGTTAATTCCATCACACGTGCTATCTGAACACTTGGGTTGGCTGTTGTTGACTGTGCTTTTTTTTTGTGGATTTCATTGTTTGATGATTACTTTATTCTTTTTTCTTCCCTTGAGTGTTTCATACTTGTACTTTTCTATGAAATGATCAAAGTCCATATCATTGTCCCATCATTTATGGCCTTCCGTGATCTAATCTTAACCTGTCTCTCTAGCCTTGTATGCCACTACTACACACAGCAACATGGAAAAGAAAATTGGATACGTGTTAAATGCTGATACAAAAAAGAATGGTTTTAACAAAAGGACAATAAGAATATAAGGATTCTTAAGAGCAGGAGTGTACAAACTGTTTCTGTAAAGGACCAAATAGTAAATATTTTTGGCTTCACAGGCCAGCTATTGCTAACAGGAGACCCGCCATAGACATATGTAAATATGTAAATGAAAACCAAGAGGCTGAACACACTTGGCCCACAGACCATCGTTTGCCTGTCCTTGTGAAAGGGTATTTCTGGGTACTTAAGAAGTACTTTAAATATCAGTTGCACTGATTTTCTTTTTAAATACACTTTTAAAAATTTGTTGTAAAATGAATGCACATCATAAGAAGTCCAACAGTACAAAAGGTTTTACAGTGAAAAGTAAATCGTCAGCCATGAGTTATCTTCTCTAGGGCAACCACTGTTACCAATTTCGTGACTGTCTTTTCAAAGTTACTCTGCATATGTAAGATCATACACATATTCTTGGTAATAAAAATAGTAGCATATGCAACATACTGTATTCTGTATCGTTTTTCATATGAATATACACATAGATACACTACCTCGTTAGTACAAATAGTAGTGTATTATATACACTATTTTGTGTGTTAACATTCATTTTTAATATCTCAAAGACCTGTGCCTTTGCCTCAGTTTTTTGCATGAATTCACAATATGTCACTTGATGTATGTACATAATTTATTTAACTAGTAATTTGACTATTTCAAGTCTTTTTTCAGTTGCTAACTTTGTAACATTGATCGTTGTATCCAGTGTCATTGTCGAGACATTGACTTCTTTCTCTCAATGCAGAGTTGTACTGATACTGTTTATATGTGTGTGCGCCATGATTTAAGATATTTTGGCTCCCTCATGCAATGAGTACATATTTCTTTCACTCAGAAGGCAGCAGAATCTAGCCAACTATGGCCTTCATTTTAGATTATTTTGTACTTCATCTTTGAAGAAGGGGTAAAGAAATTTTTCTGGTCTTTCCATTCCCAAATTAAAGGCAAACACTCTTGTCAATATCAGTGCTAAATTTCTCTCACATCCTGTTTCAAGGCTTCTCATTCTTCTAATTAATCATCATGGGAGCAGAGTGGGAGAAGGGAATAAAGAAGAATCTTCTGACGGAGGAGGAGGAAGGAAGGGCAGCCACGTTCTGAGAACGGTCTCTCGCCATTCACCAACTTGTAGCTTCGTCCCTGTAGGACTCGCGGTGGGCCTGATACAGGCGATCACATTGAGGAACATTGTTGACTGGCATTAAATCTGTTGCTTGCAGTTGCCTGGACCTGGAGCAGTGTTCTCTTAAGGTGTTGGAGCCTGAAGGAAGCCCAAGCCTGTGTTTATTGAAGCTAATGGGGGAGAAAGGTTGCACAGTCACGGAACTGAGTGACTTCCTGCAGGCTATGGAACACACTGAAGTTCTTCAGCTTCTCAGCCCTCCAGGTAGGTTTTTTCCCCCTTGGAATATTTTTTAGGAGTTCGTGGAATCAAACTTGGAGGTCACCATTTCTTTTGACCAGGTGAATTATGTTAGATATCCTTGGAAAAATTGCAATTGTAATATAATGATAACTGTAGCATTTTTACATGCAAGTGTGTGGAACTTTGTTTTCTTTCCCAGGTTGAGACTAAAGAACACATAAGAAGCAAACACAGTGCATGAACATTGGTTGGATTATGGATTAGAAAACCAGCTATAGGGGATATTTTTAACACAGCTGGAAACATTTGAGTGCAAATGTTAGGGATAAGATTTCTATAACATACGATAGAATAGTGCAGCCCAAAAAAATGGAGGAAACTCTCCTCTCTACATCTGTAGATAGGGTTGGTCAACTGCGGTGGGGTCAGGCAGGAGGGACATGACTTTGATGGCAGCAACACTGCAGGCCTCCCTTCCCCTGGGGCTCAGTTGGCCATTACGTGTGACCAGCAAAGAGGCTGGTCAAGCTTAGAATGGCCATATACTAAGAACCAGATACTCTCTATTCCACACAGTTTTGACACTCGCCACTTCATTGTCTAGCCAGATTGGTTATGATACATTTTTAAGTTAAAATGAGGAACTTAAAACTATAATTTAGATCTTATTTTTTGTCTTGTGAGCTCTGAGGTCAGGGAATTAGAGACACATTATTTAGTAGTTTGCATGTCGATTACATGTACCAGAAACCTCAACTCAACTTGGTGTAGTAAAGGGAATATATTTCTTCTTCTAACTGAAAAGCCCAGAAGTAGGTTGGGCCTCAAGAAAGTCAGGGAACAACCTAAGCAGTTGTTTTGGTTTTGTCTTTGCTCTCCCTTTCTTGGCATTGATTTCCTTCCAAGACTGATTCTCCGATAGTCCAAGATGTCTACTAGCTGTTCTGGGCTCATCAGCCTTGTCCCAGCAAAACCCAGAAGGTTCATTCTAGTTAACTAGTTTCAAATGCCTGTCCTTAAACCTGTCACATTGGTCAAATAGATGGAATGTGCAGCTTGCCTGGCTTTTAACGCCAGGAGTGGAGTTAGGCTGAATCAGCTTTTAGGAACCACATGGATCACCTCCTTTGTTGAGGAGTTGACCAAAAAGTCTACTACAGATAGAACAGACCCTGGATTATAAGTAAGGAAACTGGGACTCCCAAGCCATCCCCTTCTTTGCAAGGCCTAATGTCGATGGTAAAATGGCCTCTCATAGCTGCCCCTTGATGATGCACACTGTACTGGATGCTTGGCTTTTGCTTCCCATTGCCTCTTCATGCTCAGAGGTAAGGGGCAGGAATACCTAACTGCTACTGCTGCCAGCTCCCTCAGATACAGTGGTAGACTTCTTAGGTCGTATTTATTAATTTTTATATTCCCAGGGCCTCAGATAGTACCCAGGAGTTGTGGTGACTAAAATCCACCAGTCTAGGACACTGGGTTAGCTGCTAAGTTCTCATACTTTATAAAATGCTAGGGCCTCTGAAAACTTAAGAAACCTCTCTGAGAAGGAAATATAACTTTTATATCTCTATTCTGTTTTTCAGTAATTACATTTAATTACTCTGACCGTTGGTTGTCCAGCCTATAAAATGAGCGTAAGTTTTCTCTACCTTGCAGATTTGGAGGAGTTACATGAAATAATGCAGTGCTGAACTGCATCTAGACAATGACAGGGGCCTCACTTCTCTTAATGATGTGTGGTATGATCATTGGCCTGAGATCCAAGTTTCGGACTTTTTGAAGTTTCCTATATATATGAAACTAGGCTTGATTGGAATTGAGTCACATATTTAGTTAATGTGTAACAATTTGCCTGAAATTTTTAGATAATACAGTATTTCATATTTTTATTTTTGAAAAGCCAGAAACTAAGTGCCATGCTAATAAGCATAAGTGATTTCCTTTGAAAAATCCATCTTTGTTCCTTGTGTTTTTCTCCAAATAGGATTAGCACTATATTATTCTGATATTCAGCTTACAGACTTTTTCAAGGTTATCTCATAGTACTTTTTCACGTTTGAGGGGAGAATAGGAAAAGGAGAGGAGTGTCGTCTGTGTTACCATTTCTGCCCTGTTTCTGTGAAGTTTCATGTCAAAATAGCCATATAGTATTCCCAGGAATCGATTGTTACTTGAATGTTAATTATTGATTTAAAAGGAAGTGTTTTGGAATCTGGTAAAGCCCGGTAATTTTAGGGAGTAATTAATTTGCCAACTTACTATCTGAATCTAATATGGATAATCGAAGACTCACTCTTTTTACAGATATTAGAATAAAGAAATATAAAACAAAATAAAGAAATGTAAGAACTATAGAGAAGAATTTTAATATTTTGATAAAGGTACTGAGAATTAAAAGTATTGTAGTTATATTAAGAATACAGGTTTTGATAGAATTGACTAATGGATGATTTTGGTCGTGCATTCAATAAAAATTTACTATTTTCCAGTTCCTTGGCTATTCCAGGCATTATGCTAGGTACCATGAATTCAAAGATGAATAAAGTAAAATGTCAATGCTCACATCCAGGACAATTGCAAAAAGGATATGTAAAGTAACTTTATCTGATCTCCAGTTTTTTCAAAATAGAAATATATTAATGTTTTCTCTCTTTTTTGCATTAATGCCATTACATAGAAGGACACTAGTTCTTATTCCTCAGGAAGTCTGATGATTTTTCTCTGATTGTCCTTACAGAGAGAGGTCTGGTTTGGGTTATGTTGTGAACTTCTGAACAGTCCTTTCAGGTCTAAATGCAGGGAGAAGGGGAAACTTCAGATTTATTCTAACTGAAGGAGAAACTTTAGTCTTATTTCGCCATATTCTATTCCAGCTATTTGTAGAACTATAGCCAGAAATAGCTGTGAGAGAGATCTGTAGTGTGGAGTTTCTATATTTTTTGGAAGACTGACCCAGTCTCCTTTGTAAGTTTGTTTTGGAAGCTCAGAAGTAGCCAGGACAGCATTCACTTATCCGTAACTAGAACACTTTCTGTGACAGATCTGGCTTCCCTGGCCACTCAGTGTGAAGTCTAAGATGAACATAAGCTTACCCAGAAGGCCTTGCTCTCTGGGCCCTGGTGCCTCATGTGCTTCCTGAAGGAGCCTCCTGGGATTGAGGTTCCCACTCTCCGGCCTCCTCTCTCGTCAGGGCACGGGAGTCGACCGACTTGCCCCCCGTCTGGTCTTGTTGGAACTGCGAGTGGGAGGAGGCGCTTCTCGGTGTTGTGTGGAAGGTGTTCCCATTTTCCATCGTGACTGCATTGTTGCCTGATTTATTTATCGTCTGTTCCTTTGGTCACCTCAGTGGGAATCGGGGGCTGGGGGATTAAATGAATGTGCTGGAATGGTTTTAAACCAGAGGTTTGGAATGGTATTTTCAGATCTTTCCTCTTTTATTTAAGTTTCAAAGAGTCTGTCTGATTCCAAAGCAACCAGTACTGATATCTGTATTCTCGGCAAACATAAACGACTTAGATGTGCAGTTCAAACTGTTTTTATTTTTGTCTTTTGTTTTAGGTGAAAACTTTTGAGCGCAGTTATAGGCTCTATCAGTTGCAGTTATGTAGATCACAAAATGGCTGCCTGGGGAAGCCGCGCCCTTACCTGGAATTGGCAGAGCAGAGGTGGGACTGTGGGGGCTATTTAGGGAGAATTGACAGGTTTATTTACAAACAGGTTTCATTAGGATGAGTCCAGGTTCCTCCCAGCCCAGGCTTTGTGATGTCGCCATTGTATTCCATTCTTCACAGGAAGGTGCTTCGCTGGGCGTCTTGGAGGGCCATGGCAGGGTCATAGGCTTTCTCTTCAAAAGCCTCTCTCCATTCACCCGGCCCTTTGTTATTTCATAAAACTTTTTTCTCTACTCATTCTTATGTTTCTGACATCAGTTTGTTAGAAATTATTTTATTGTCTCTAAAATAAATGCAAAGATTGTTGAATATTATTCTTTAGTTTCTAAAATACCTTTAGTTTACATTTTATCTTCACAATTCTGTGAAGCAACAGAACAGTACTATTATGAACATTTAAATTTTACCAGCAAACATTGATATGGAAAATGAGATTTTCCAAAAGTTATCATTTGGCCAGTGTCCCAGTTAGTTATTGACAGAGGTAAGATTGAAAACCAGGTCTGCTACCCCTGTCCTGAACTCCACACCATTTCTATAATGATAGGAAACTTCTGGGTTGTTTGAGAATCCTAGTCCTGTATGATTACCTCAGATGCCTCTTTGACCCATAGACTTTGATTTTTTTCTTCTTGCTAAGTTAAGAAGTACTCAAATACAGTATCTGATTTGTAAGGGATTCTTCTTATTTCATGAACATAGGGAAACTGGCAGCTATTCCCGAAAGGAAAATACCAAGACATGAAAAGAAACAAAGATAGTGTGACTGAGAATGCAGATATGGAAGACATAGAGAGAGAAAGGTAGTGAGGCCTGAGAGAATGTATCTCTGGGTGTGGAGTGTTGAGGGCATCTCAGGCAGTGTCGCAGTATAAGGGGTGTTGTGTAGGAGACCAGGTTTAGCCACAGTAGATACAAATGTAAGTTGGCTTGTATGTGGACACACTGTGTGTGTAATGTTGTAGGAGGGACACATGTGGATATATGGTTGTGTAATGTGGAAATTGTTGGAGGAAGAAGAATGCCCTTTATTCTGGCACACTGGGGGCTCATAGATTCTTCCCAGTGATAGCTTAGAAAATTTGAAAGTAACTTTGAGGAAGAGTTTTAGATGGAAACTGATGGAAAACATTTTTTGGTTTTTGGCCTGAAAATAGGCGTACTTCAGTGTGTGCAGTAGATCTGTGTCTGGAAAAGGTGTTTGTAAATTACATCAATATTTAAGTACCTTGTGAGAAAGAACTTAAAGTGAGCCTATGATGTGTCCTTTTCTCAAGAATCATCCTAATTTATCCTTCTTATAGTTCTAGCAGGGTATTTTTTGTTGTTGTTTTGGGGTTTTGT